AAGTTTTTTGATGCAGTTTATTTCCTTATTTCTCATATCCTGAGTGTTTGAGAGAATGTTGAATAATTTAATTTCGATAAAAACGCACAAATATACAATAAAAACAAAATTAAAAAAAAACATTCAAAAAACGTCTCTTTAAATTTTTTAAAAAAGATACATTTTGTGTAGAATTTTTTTCTCTACAAAATATCAAAATTTGGTGATGGCGATTTTTTGATATCGAGAATTATGAGATCGAAGAGAAAGTGAGACTGCATAAAATCGGCTGTCGTTACAGTAATCCAATGCACTTCACTGTGGCGCCACTGTTATTAATTGCTTCTGAAAGTCCAGGAGAACAATTATCAATGTGTGGTATGTTTTATTCTTCTAAAATCTGCTCCGAAAAGTAGTTTTAACATGGAAATATTTTTGAATTATTACTTTGCAAAAGCACCAGCAGCATCAAGTGGTAAAAAAATTTTGGATAGGATTTTCGGTGTGTAGGCAGAATTGTCTCGGATGTAGGGTTTTCGATTGTACAGGAATGTTTTGAAAGCTGTGACAAAATATCGCAAAGATGTGGCAAAATAGGCTTCATTCTGACGTCATTCAACTCTGAAACAAAAGCTTTCGTGGATGAAAGAGCATGAGAGACAGAATGTTAGATCTGGGCATCTAAGACGGCAAAAGAAGTTCCTTAGTTGTCAGAAGTAGAGTCAGAATTCAATTGTCATTGTAGCCAGAAATCATCGGTTCAACTGAACGTTCTTTTTCAAACATCTTTTGCTGTAACCCTTTAAATCTACCAAGCCATGCCAGCGTCAGGAAGAAGCTCCGATCTGCACCCGACTGGTTGAAAGAGGAGACATCTGCACTCCCTGATGACGCTAAAATCCGTAATAACTGCAGAATTTTGGCAGGAAAAAGACGGGCGGAAGAAGCTGGCTCCAGTAGCTGTGTGCTTTCAGTATAGCCAGTAATTGAACAGGTTTTCTTTAGAGTACTTAAACTGAAATTGGTATTTGTGACGCTCTCGTTTTACGAAAAGGAACGGACGTTACTGCTGCTGCGGTTTGCAAAAGCTCTCCCACCGAGTGGCTCTCAGCAAATTCATGCTGCTATTCCATCGTCATCAGGAAAACTGCTTACCAAACAATACTCTTTTCCACTGTTGCGGATGAGCAAAAAATTTAAGAAATACACGATGTTCTAGCAGAGACGACTCGCTACAGGTCTGCAAAGTAATAATTTAGAAACATTCTCATGTTAAAGTTACTTTTTGGAGCTTATTTTAGGAGAATAAAACAAACCACACATTAATAATTGTTCTCCTGAGTTTTCAGAAGCAGCTACTAACAGTGGCGCCACAGTGAAGTACATTGGATTACTGTAACGACAGCCAATTTTATGCAGTCTCACTTCCTCTTCGGTCTCATAACTCTCGATATCGAAAAATCGCCGTCACCAAATTTTGATACAT